GCAACCTATACCTTCAATTTGGCCTTCAAGTTGAATCCTCCAATAGGTAGCTGGTAGCATCTTGTGGTCTTTTGTATTTGGTGTTCTGAGACCATGGAGATGTTTAAAAGCAATGTTTAGTGCTATAGCTAATACATTATCTCATGGCTAATGGTGTCCTCTGGCATCTGGAGAAGTCTTTGTGTAGAGCTTCAAGTGTCTGGCATCTCGGCAACAAAACAGCCTGTGCAGTCGACACTCCTGTGTTGGCAAGTAGCAGCTCCTTTGCCTGTTAAGATTTTAAAGGACTGTGCATTAAGCAAAGGAGCTGCTGCTTGCTGCTGCTGTATTTGTAAATGTGGATCAAAAAAAGCTAATGTTGTACCTAATTTGCATGCTCTAGCAGGCTGCTTTTTATTCCCCCCGGCTTTGTAAATCCATGGTTGCTGGACATGGGTGGCAGCGTTGGACACGATGATTCTGAGGAGTTGGGGGGGTTGCAGGTAACTGTGCCAGTACGTAGAATTGTCCTCTTGGGTTTCATCTTGGTAGGTCCCCTGGGTCCTCTGAGTTTGCTGCCCATCACCTCTCTCCTTCTCCCCTTTCTACCCACAGTTATAGGGTTTTTATAGCTTGGGTTTTTTTGGTTTACCAGAATAGAAGTGGGTCTAGCCCTTAGCACTGAGGCCCACAAAAAAAAACCCACCACCACCAACCCCCAATTCTTAGCATTGTTATGCTGATCAGAAGCTGCTGCTGACTCACAGTATTAAATGCAGGAGGTGATTTCTGCCATGGTTTTGGGGACAGGCTTTTCTGAACAAGCAATATGCTGAAAAACTACTGCAAGTGTCAGGATGCTCTTGGGAATCTGATATGCCTCTACCCAAGTCTATTCGGAGAGAAAATAAAATAACACCACCACCACCCAGATCCTCCCATGTGCATGCCTTTATTACCTTTCTGTCAGCTCTGGTGGGCTGAGCAGCCAGTCCCAGTCCTGAGCCCAACTGGTCTGTCTTCAGTTGGGATAACTATGTCACTTGCTATGTTCCAGAGCTGACTAGGATAGAGACATGAAACATTAGTGACAGCCTATCAGCAGAAGCACTTCTCTTGACAAAATTAGCTTTGAAATTTGAGTGGTTTAATGAAGAAAAGTCTGTGGTGATTAAACATCTCATGCTTTCTTTTTTATTTAATCTGACTGTTAATGGCAACGGCCCAAAGCCACATCCTGCACCATGATGAAATAACGCCACACTGTCAGCTCCTCCCTTCAGAAATGGAGCACTACAATACTGAGTAGTCGCAAGGAAGGTTCTAACACCACAGGCGGCATTGGAAATGCAGAAATAAAATACTGACCTCGGGGGACCTCAGGTTGAGCTTCAGTGCCAGCATTTTGATGCCCAGCTGTGTGCAGCAGCTTGGGACGTTTTTTCATCCCAGAAGCCTGGTTGGTTTGAGCCCGTGTTGCATAGCTGAGGCATGTGGGCGGAGGACATGCTATTTGCTCTGCACCGCGTAAGCTTCACATGCTCCCTTGAAAGGCTTCTCTGTCTTGGGAAAGCTGGATGGGCAGGAAGGTGAGCAGCAGGACGGCCATGTGGCTAACGGGACGCCTGGGCAATGGGCGCCTCAGGCAGCTTTCTGCAGCTAACACCTTCTGAGTAGGAGGGTAGAAGTGGTATGTGAATGCGGTGGGAAGGTCAGTGGGGTTTCCTTAAAGTAGAACTTTCCGCTTCCTCAAAAACTTACGGGTTAGAGAGCCGGGCAATGGAGCAGAAAAAGGGTTTCACCAGCTACCTAGGTGTGAGGACAGCTGGCGCGTGTCCTGGGGTGGTAGGTGGGTTTTACATGTGTGGCCTTAGCTGCTGAGGATGCTCTCTGGGGAAGGATACCTACGCATTAGTGCTAATTTAGGCACCAGGGTGATCTTCCTGTTGCTGGCATTTCAGTGGTTTTTATTCACAGGTGGGAGGGGAAAGAGAAGGAGCCCAAACCATCTGGTGTAGAAAGTGCCGCTGTTTGGAGCAATGGACGCTGCTGGGGTAGCTGTAAAGGGAAGAGAACACATCCAGCCTGCAGCAGAGCTAAGAGGCTGAGTAGGTGGTGCAGGGGCAGAGAGGGGTAGAACAGAAGACCAGAATTGATGTAATGAAATCTCCAGGGAGAATTAAAACCCTTGAAGGAGGGGCTCAGAGTGGGGAGGAGAAGCAAGCTTTGTTTACATGAGAACTTCTACTTAAATACTTGTTTTTCTTCTTTCAGTGATAGATTTTCCTTGAAAAACATACACCACTGCTACTCCAGGTTTAAAGATCTAGGCCTTGTCTAACTGCATAGCTGAGTGTTTAATTCCTTGTGTGTTTAAAGAGGCACAGCCCCCTGATCTGGGCAGAGGTAGAGGCATAACAGATACTGGCAACTCCCATGCTTGTACAAGAATGGGGAAAAGCTGCAGCTAAGTACACAGCAAAACAACTCTCTGACAGAATTTATACCAGAATAATTATTCTATTTGCAAGTTGTATCCCGAGACAAATATATGAGAACTGATAGCTGAGGGGCAGGAAAGGAGCAGAAAGAGGGGATAAATATCTGGCAGTTACAGAGACTGGAGGTAACGGGAGGAGGCTGGGTGAGGAGAAGGGTGAGGGACTAGGTCCATTATTGTGCACTTTTCCTGTCTTTTGATTAAGATACTGGGCACTCCTCAGGTGATTAGAATGTGCTGCTAGTATTTTTTCTTCTTTATTAATTTATATGCACTTTTTTTCACTTCTAGCTCTCTTTAAGTCAGGGTAAAAGATACTGTGAGCAGGGAGTGAGGTAGCGTCTTCAGTGGAAAAACCGCTTGGGTGTGGTTTGTTTTTTTGAGCTAACTAAATATAATCTTAGAGCAGAAGAGCTAATAATAAAAGAAGCAGTGTTTGCAATTCATTGAGCTTTGTGCTACACCTGCTGTTCTTAGCAAGGCTCTTTACTCCGAGTTACACTTCAGCCATGTTTGGCAGCAGGGTGATAGCAGAAGCTTCGGTGAATTTGTGGTACTGCATCCATTTTCGTCATCCCATAAGAACAGCATCAACTCTGCTGGCAGTAAGGGGAGGAGGTGTGCACCTTTATAAAACTTTGTGCAGTGGGGTCCTTATCGGGGGACTAACACTTACCTATAAGCAATACATTGCAAAAGATGTATAAGAAACATTATCCAGTCATTGCATTGTGTCACGCAATGTTGTTGATGAGAAAGCTGCCTTGATTAGATATGCTATTCGTGATTTAGAAAAGGTACTGGTGCTTATGAACTGAAAAGCTGTTCTAATGGGGAAAATGTAGGAGGCTGAGTGAAGTGGATCAGTTTTGGTGAAATCTGTTGAATGCCCCAAATCAGAAAAGGGAGCAGGTAACATACTGTTCTTGGAAGCATTTTAGAACTACTGGTTTCACCTGACTGTTCTGTTTCTTCCCTGGGCTGTAGATATAGGCATCTACAACAAAACAGCCTGCGAGCCCAGACGCTTGCAATAAAGGGGATTAAATAATACTAGATATTTCCACTAAATATTCTGATATCCTTAAATAATTGTGAGAAAATAAAAATGCATAAGTTGGATGGAAGTTTAAACTAAGGGTTTGTTTAACCACCCGCACCACTGAACAAAAAATGCTACTGGATCTTAGCCAAGAGGACAATGGTCTCTATTTTCAGAGCAAAACTGCTCTACTCCTCCACCTAGTGTTGTCGGGCTCCCTCCTGGTTAATCTTACCTGTTAAAGGTAAGGGCTAGACCTATTGTAAGTAAACTCTGTATTTAACAGGGGCCTGACCTAGTGCCACCCGAACCTCATGCTCATGACACAACGCTTCCATCCTTATGTTGCCACAAGGTCCTCTGCGAAAGTCCACAGCAGTTGATTTGAAATCACTTCATATTGACGTTGTTTCATAAGCATGATAGAAGTCTTCCTATAGAAAATTGGTCCAAGACTGGTGACTGAATTTTGTAGGAATACCTCAAGCAGTAGGGACTGTCCCAGCATTTTCCCACTTACTTTACTCGAGGGAAAGGTGATATAGAAACAGAATTGTAATAAATTAGTTTTGTGGTCACTTTCATGCTGAGTAATGTGACAGGTATCTCCTCTTTTTATAGAAGCAGTTTTTAAAGTCAGTACCAGAAGTCAGTGCTGGTAAAGCAGGGTCTGTGCAAGGGGAGATCACAATGTAAGAGAAAATTAAGTTTTTGAATGCATTTTAGCCTGACTACAAAGATGTATGTAGTTGTGTTATCTCACGTGGTTATCTGAGTTATTTTGTTTAAAGTAGTAACTTTTGCTGTACTCCTCATCTTGCAAATTACTAAAATGCATGGCTGATGGCAGAGAAGCTGTTAGTTATGTGGCTGTTTCAGTCCTGCCTGGTGCCTGGATCTGAGAGTCCTAATCCAGAAATCCCAGAGCTGGGCACTGGAAATGCGGTGCTGCCAAGCACTAACACCGGTGGGTGCAGGTTCAGAAAAGATCCCCATGAGGGCTCTGTCCCTTGAGATGGGCAGTGGGGACGTTCAGCTGATCCTGAGGTGGGGATGCCTTGTCCTCTTTTCTTTGCAATGTCTGGATTTGCTCCTTCCCCAGCCTTCCTTTGTGGGCTGTCATGTTGTGCTGCTGATATAATACACTTCAAGTCAAACATGCCTTTTTTTTTTTTTTTAAGTCATCTCTTCCAAAATAAAAAGTGCAAATTGAAAGTACAATCAACATCTTTTTGACAATACAGCAGAATGTTAAATTTACAAATATAAAATTACATATATTTAGTCTTATTTAAGATTTTACAGAAAATTAATCAGATAAAGTGCAAATAAAAAAATATAAACATAACTTTTTTTTTTAGAAGCTTTCATCATATGGTTGCAAACACAGCTGATTTTGAACTGCAAAATATTTACAGTTTGGCAGTCTGCGAGTTGTTGGTAGAAGGTTCTTGAGTTGCAAGAATCAGCACTGGTTTCTCATCTCTCAAGTTCTGCTTCCAGGATTTCTCCCCATGTGTCGACATCCATTGGATACATGCTTTTCTCTGGCAAGCTGTTTTGTGAAGGAATGTTGCTGTATTTCCCGCTCAGCCATTCTTGCTTCACTTTGCTTTTCCAGTAGTTTCTCAGTAATGTGATCTGATGGAAAAAACAAACAGATCTTGGAAATGAACTGATGTAAGTTGCATTCAATACAAGTAAGTTTTGCATTGGAAGAGTAATGCTAGAAAAAGGATTTGGAATGTGTCTTTGGGTATCTAGACATGAAGCCCAGGAACTGCACTGCTGCCAAGAAGCAGACCTTGGTCTACTTCCAACTTTTCTGTTCTAAGCTGGGTAGAGAACCGCTTCTTGCCTCAATTCTTTGAAGGTTGACATGAAAACCCTAAACCAGGAACTCATCTTCCTCCTTACTCCTGAGAAGAGGTGCCTTTCACTTTCTCTTCCTATTTAGGCTATTCATGACCTTTAACTCTTGCTTGGGCTCTTAATGCAGGCTGGCTGGATTCTTCTCTTCAGCTAACCTTTTAGTGAAAGAAAATGCTGAACTGGTGTGTTTGTTGCTTCTACTTCAAATTCCCTCCAGATAAGACAGAGAATCAGTGCAGGGAGTTCTGGAAATTCTTGTGCAACAGTAGTAAGATCTACACATTTGAAGGGCAACCACTGCCTGCTCATGGCTTTGCCTCATACTGAAACAACTCTACGGAAGCGTGAGAGTACAGAACTGTTTGTCTGGGGGTTGGTTTTTTTTCTGCTGCTTCTCTTTTCACCTTTCCACTGCCTCCCTGCTCTCAAACACACCAGCTCAAATGAGGTGGGGATCACCCTCTGGCTGTTCCAGAGTAGTAACTGTGAAACCACTCCTTTCCTGATCTACCCCAGCTTGCAGGCCAGACTGGACTGCGATAGACCTTCCAGCACATTCGGCTCCTAACTCCTCAGAGCGGCTGTAACTGGGCGTGTGTGTGGGGAGAGTTTCAAAACAGCTTCTCGGAGCTCCTGCTTGCTTCCTTTTCTCTACCCCAGTTTTTTCCTCCTGGATGCATGTTGCTCGGGGCGTACTGAGGCAGAGCTACCCAGGATGAATTTCTGGGCAGTCCTTCCTCACCAGCAGAACTATTCCCATGAAATGCAACCAGAGAGCACACGCTGCCTCGCGGGGGTACGCTGTCTTCTCCCCCCTGGCCCTGTCTACTGGGATGTGGGCTTTCTTCCGTGCTAGGGCTGTGCAGGCTTCGATACGATGGATATCGGTGCCAAGGCTGCGCCGGGCAGTGTGAGGACTAAACATGGGGTGCCAGGGTGGCCAGACGTGGTCCTGGGCAGGGAACGGGACAGCCTTGCTTCCACCTGTGCATTTCACCAGCTGTCCAGCTGTTTGCGTGTGCTACCAAGCCATGCTGTGATTACAGAGGTTCTCCCATTAGCCTGGGGCAGACGAGATGTGCTGACGTAATCTCTTTACGTATTTCTATTATGTATTTCTGTTACCAATCCCTGAAGCCTGGACGCTGCCGCCATTCCATCACCGACGTCAAATTTACCTTCCAGGAATAGCCGTTTCCCCGGTCGCAGTCGATCTCCCGCTGGCAGACAGCCCTGGCGCTCAAGCAGTGCGGCCTCCACAAGCGGTCGTTACTCTCGATGACGCGGTGCCAGCCCTTGCACGTCACGGCCGCGTGACACAAGCTCTCAACGTCCAGGTCGCTGAAAATCCGCGAGCTGACCTCCGGGGGGAGGAGAGCCACGAAGTCGGCC